TATGTATTTAAAAAAAACTGCATAAATACTTAAACCTGTGATTTTATGAGTTTCGTGCTAATTGGGTAAGTACCCAATTCATTGAAGTACGTATTTTGGTTACTGACTAGAGTTTATCCTATATTTTGTTTAGAAAATTCAAATTATATAATGATATGTGAATTAACTCTGAGTTCTGATAGCTTAGTAATTATACGTCCAATGTTTGTTATAACTCGTTAATTTTGGGCCTAATGCTACTTAGGGGATAAAGCAGCAATATGTTTGTAGGGATTAATTTGTGGATTCCGTAATTAAATTACTGTTATAGTCAGTGATCCTACGTATTATCTGGAGAGTTAGTTTAAATGCAAAATAATTATTAACGTAACGATATAGTAGATGCATCGTTTTCGTGTATTGATTAAACATTATCTAGTGAATAGTTTATATCAGTCCTGTAAGGATGGAACAAATGGCAATCAATCAGGTTACCTTAAGTAAGGGAGTAAAGCAAGTTTAAAGCTAAATTTAAAGAAATGATGGGCACCAGAATAATTAAGGTATGTTTTGGAAATTACTTTTCAGATGCTATTGGAATCCTTTTACCTAAAAATATTTGTAGTTGCGTTATGTTTTTATCATTTTATTTTCACTGCATGGAATGAAACATTCTCAAGCATATGTGAAATGTCTATACCTTATAATATTCGTCTAGATAAGCATAAACTGTGTATTTAATAGGATGTGTCTATATTATGCATGTTATAAAACATTACTGTTGGAATCACTAATAGGCTTGGTTTAGCATAATTGGATATTAAAAATTATTTATATGATTTGTACTAAATATATGTATTTTATTCTTAAGTAGAAATTTTATAATGCTACAACATATTTGTCGTAGAAGGAAAAATAAAGCACAAGTTTTGTTTCAGCTCATAATGTTAAAATGATTGAACTATTTAACAATATTTAAATATATGTCCGCCTTTCAAATGACAAAAGAAGATCTTACTTAATTTTTGATTTTCCAGTTTGATCCAGTTTCATATCTAACGTACACGATACGGTTAATAACTTAAAATTTGAGTTATCACATAAGTACGTTTTACTGATCTCTTGAAAAACGAGTTGCTGCCCTTATAATAAGTAATTGAAATATGAGGGATTAAAATACCTAAAATGTAAAAGAATAATATCTGCTTTAAACCTCAAAAGAAGTTAATATTTATAAATAAAAGTACACTGAGTTTGAATAAGTCTGCTTAGAAGGAGAAACGATACTTTGAATCAAATAAAAGCAAAATCCATACACAAATGCAAGTATATATCACCTGCCAAAATAGAAACATTTTAATACATGCGATAAGAATAGAAATGTCAGCAAAAATTTAGAACTGTACTCTGAGATATGGAGTCCAGTAATGGAATACTTCCTTCCAGAAGAAAGTGCTGAGTGCCCCTTTTGTGTTTCAAATGGGAAAATTTAAACGCTTCAGCGAATTTCAGGGAAGAGGTTTAATTGTATCCTTCAGACCTATAGCATCGCAGTCTTAGTGTGGAATAGTATGCCTATTAAAGGTATGTTATAGACGATTCTCTTCTTTGAAGTTTCATCTCACATGGTCAAGGAACACTAATGCTAACGTACAAAGATATGTTGAATTCAGCAGCTATGCTACATTTTACACTTTTAGTATAATTACGGGTACTGTTTTTTAATTGTACCAATGCCTAAGAATGCAGTAGTAAATCTTAGCAGTTTCACCGCTTTCCTAACAGGTTTAACATAAGTGTTGAAACCATCGGTAATAAATTAATTGTAGGTCCTGAAACTTTATCTGTATATGAAACAATAGACTATAATACGATCTTGGCAAGTTTTTGTTAAGAAATTATTTTACAAAGCACTTCTTTCCATAAAAGAAGTATTTATGTGTTTGAAACTAATTAAATTTTTACCTACAGTTAGATATATTCAGTATGTAAAAGGAAATAAGCTCGATATATTTATAGCATGGTGCGTGAAAAACGCGAGGAAATATTATTATTCCTTTGTTATTCACGTGATGTATTGCTGGTAATAGCGCTGGGGCTTCATTCTGAATTGTTCTGTTCTATTAAAGAGGTACACATATTTTCGTTATATTATTTTCCTTCCATTCCATTATTCTGCCTGAGAATTATTTTCGGATGTCAGTTGTAAAGAGCTCAACAAAAGAGCTCAACAAAGTCAAATAATGTACGATCCAAATATAATATAATAGAAATCATCCAATGCGCTTTCAGTATACTTAAATTCTTAGTGTCTTATAAGACAGATTGTTCTCAAACTTACTATAGTGTCTTCAAATATCTCATTTAATTTCGTTGCTTTTCAGTGACAGGATCTTTGGCCACATAAAATCTATCAAACCCTACCAAGGAACCTGGTGACTTTTCACACAGGCATGAAATAATACCAGCACAGAAGAAAGGTGAAAATAACATTTTATTATTATCAACTATAAACAGAAAGGCACGTATTTTGTGTTTTACAATAACCCTGTCAACTTGCGGTGGAACTTAAAGTGTTGTTATAAAAATCGGTTCAGTTCTAAAGAGTAGGGCCCTACTAGCACTTTACGTTAAGGCTACCTAGGTTAACTCGACAACCTAACCGACGTGATAATTATTTAAGTGGCCAAAAGGCGTATCAGCAAGGTCAGAATCGTAACGTGTGCTGGATAGAGAAAACACGCTCTGAATAAACTCAAAAATTCACCCGTTTGAATATTCACTTCGCTTACCTTTAAATTAGCATCCTGCAGAGAAAATGCGAGGGAAAGTTAAGGAAGATAACAAAAAATTTGAATAATTGATTAATGGAACTAAAGGAAACACTTCACAGTAAGTACGAAAACTGACACACTGATTTACAGCAAATTTCCAAGATGCTCCTTTTTGCTGTTCGTTGATAGTAAGCATTTTGTTTTGTTGTTGTCTTCGTTGTTACATGCCACTAGACATCAAATTTTCCACACTTGATGATTTCAAATGTGTTTTCAGCACTTATTCCTTTCGTAGGATTCCTTTATCATTGCAAGAGAATCTGAGGGTAAAATAACAAATCAGCCTGGTCGGTGATCGTGACAGATAATATGTATGCGAAATAATTTACATTTTAATTTGCTACTTTCGACGTTAAAGTATTTAGGAATGCAATTATCTGCTTCATGTATTTTTTAATGTTTTACATGTTGCTATTATCTATTATTAAAATATCAACATATATGTAAGGTATAAACATGAAATGAATTACTACATTACATTTACACCTACATGCACGTAGAAATAAATTGACGCAAAAATATAAAATATAGACTTACAGGAATCACTCCTTATTATACTAAGGAAATATTTGGAACTGTAAAATCTTAACTAGTTGGAAAGTTAGCAGTAGCATTTTCTCACATTATTCTGAAATTACGATGAGTAATTTGTTAGGCCTCTTTGAATTTATTTATAAAGACGTTTTGTTTTACCAAATGGCGGGCACTTGCCTATTCAGTATTGGTCATTCCTAGGCCAGGAATGGTGGCCATTTTATTGTGGTGGCACCTAATAGGCGGCAATCGTTATATGCTAGAAAGGGACAGACAGTTACAAACATGTCTTCTCGGAATTCGAAATTGGGCCCTTCGGTATCTCAGTGGGCTACCCTGATCACTATACCGTCTGCGCATTTAATAAAAAAAAACTATGAAACTGTTGCTGCATTATTTTCTAACTATTTTCTTATTGGAAAACGAAGGCTCATATAAGTCTGTAGAACACTTGAAATCAAAAGTGAAACTTTCTGTGGAAGCATTATCTCTGCAGTTGCGATAACCCTCTGCATCGAGAAACTGAGCTGATAAACTTACATCTTTTTCCTGATCGAAGGTTGTTCTTTTGAAAATTTATTTCAGTTACTAACACTGCTGCCTAAAATTGCTGGTAACTCTCTCTTGATAGGATCCAAATCATTAATTTAGATTCAACTTTCACTAGGTCCTGATTTAGGCATGGGTAAACGGAGCACGCGCCCCAGGCCTTTACGTTCTGAAGGGTATTTAATGTCAATTCTAATTTTTAAAATACAAATATTTATAAGGTATATATATATATATATATATATATATGTAAGGTATAAGAAGAAATTTAAGTTTCGTAAACACCTTTAATGTTTATTTGATCTGGATTATGACGAAAAAAAAACTTAACGAGTAATTGTAATGTAAAATTTTCTTAAAACGTTAAACTCATTTTGGCGTTGTTTGTATCAAACTGTAATGGGAAGATTTTAAAACTTTTTTTGAGATTTTAATTTTGCTCATAGATTTCTAACTCTCAATACTGGCCTTTTTATCATTAAAAGGAGATATGGCATCCAAATTAAATTATGATGATGTAAAAAACAATTCTGTTGAAAGAAAGTTTCAAAGAAAGATAATTAAATATTATCAATTTAATTATATGGTCAGCGAACATTTAGATGTATATAAATCCATCGAATAATCACTTTAGCATTATTATTAGAATCATCATTGCCATATTTAAATCGCTATGTACTTTTTATATGGCAAATTTCCCTTCAACGAAGAATAAAAAGTTAATTTCATAATTCTAAGTTTTATTTGTGTACATGATTATTAAATGAATAAATGCTTCTGTTTTAATGAGCTGTTCTTATTTTTATAACTTATTTAGCCAAGGTTTAAGTAAATTAAAAAATATTTAGATTCTTCTCTCTTTTTCATGTTCTTCTAAGCAATAATAATAATGAATCCGTTTAAAATTTATGCTTATACTACTTTGAAAGAGAAGTGAGAAGCTTACACTGAGAAACGTAAAAACGAAGCTACGTAAAACGTGCTTTGGTGGTCTCCATTTATGTAAATGAATGTTTCATTTTCATGTTTCTTATTTAAATTTACTGAAAGGAACTAAAAAAATAAAGGTACGCAAAAACATCAAACAAGAATACAAACAAAGACTGTGTGGTGATAAACATTTTATTCACTGTAAAATAATAAATCTAGAACATGTTCCTTCACGTTTCACTTACACAACACCGAATATTTTTATATAATTTTTACCAAGAAACAACGTTAGAACGTTATATTACCACAACATATTTTCAGTGCTCATATATATTTAAACTTGGAAACAAGCATTTCTATGTAAGTAGAAGATTCCCTAAAGATTAATTCACTGGCTTTTTAGAATCAAAGAATACGTGACACCTTTAATTAGGGCATTACAAAAGATTCTTGCGTAATATGCAATACATGAAGTAAAATGAAAACACGAATATTTATAAAATGCGATCATTCATTAATAGAAAAAAAGTCAGCCCAGTTGGCTGATATCATAAGAACAGCAATTCAATCTGGCAAAGGAAAACAGCTACAGACATTTCAGTGGGAAGACCTGAGACACGATAGAAAGAGGCGAAATACTATGGCCCATGGTAGATGCCTTGCAAACACATTAGTTTAGAGCTAAATATGATTCCATGCAGATGGCAAAAATGAAATACGTATTTAAGTTCAAAAACAACAGCGCCACGCTTATTGGGCAACAAACTATGAACATAAAGTTCAATAGGAATAGACCTTATGTAGCACCTAATGAATGTAAAGTGAAACTTTTAATATTACTCAATTAATTAACTCAGCAAACTGCATCTCTATTAAAAATTTAATCTGAGTTTCATCAGGGTAGCCATTGTGAAATAATGGATATTTAAAAATATGACTCAAATGGTTAACATTGCTTCAGTTGTTTTCATTATTTTTAGCTGGAACTCTTCCCTACTTTTTTCACTGTTTCCTTTGTTCGTATGAGGAGGACTTGAAGAAGCTGCAAACTTCATCATTCGCACTCTTAGATTGAATAAAATGATGTTTTTATTAACGAATATTTTGTCCTTATATGGGTGATTCGAAGAGCATTGAATGAAGGAGCATCAAGGAAGTTTTAAAAAAATATGCACAATTGAGTATTTCTTGAATGGTTAGACGTATTCCCATGGTTTGAACTTACAAAGTAGAGCAGGATGGGCTATAAGAATAAAGTAGTTTTTAATAAGCAAAGTCCTTTCATGAAAATATTAAAAAAATGAATTTTTCTGGCATTTCATTTAAGCAAAACATAAACTTTCATACAGAAAGGAAGTTGAAATTACCAAGTCACCCCTTCTCTTTCTTTACTCTCGATTTTTCAAAAAAATCTCAGTTACATAGTACGCAAAACTGGCTCCCGAAAAAAAATGTCAGCCACACTCTTTGGTAAAATGAAATGATAAAAAAACGTCAGTTTTCGAGGCTGCATAAAACTGAAACTTTTCGGATAATTTCTTCGACTTGAACAGTTCTACAAGCGGTAAGGTTATGGAATATAAGTATCATGGTTAAAGAAATATTTTTCAAAACCTAGTAAAATTTGTGTTACACTATATGTTCGAATGAGAAATTGTTTTTTACCGATAATTACCTGTGAACTTCAAAATATTATTTAAGAATATATCAAGTAATTTGATTGTTTAAGGAGGGACGCTATGTTTCCTTTTTGCTTGATTAATTTGATTTCGAAAAGCATTTCTTTATTCTCCATTTTTCACTATGAGACACATATACAAATCTATGTTACGTGGGGCTTCATTAAGACACGATCTAGTTTAATAAATTTCCTTAACTCCTACCACGGTTTTACATGTAACCTGTCAATACATGCTTCATTGTACATCCTCTTGGAAAAAGTTTTATTGAAATTTGGTTGGTGTTATTTTAATTTTAAAATCTAAATGCTCAGTTTATAATTTGTTCCTGCTCTGTAATAAATCTACATACAAAAGTTCTGCTTTTGAAAGGAATTTAAAGAACTGTGATATGATTCTCGTAATGTAATAAGCAAACTAAGTAAATTGTTTATGTATAGAGAAGGAGTTGAGCGTCCTGCATTTGGAAAAGCATGGTATTTTAAAATTTGATCTATTCTGAAGGAATGAAGTCAATCTCTCTTAATTTATTTTGCTCCAAAATTAAATTATTAATTTTGAAAATATCAATGAGTTTACCTTTTTGGCCGAAGAAACGTTCTGAACGGAGATTTATTTTATCCTAAATGCATTCATTGTTTCAATTTTATGCTACTTAAACTTCTGTTAATATGAATGTAAGTTCAATTAATGACACATTTGGCATTCCTGATGATAATATTAAATTATCCAGATATTGTTTTAAAGCTGTAGAGATATTAGGTTGTTTCGAAGCAAGAAACATGAAAAATGAGCAATACTCTCGCCAGGACTCGAACTTCAGACCTCTTGAATACGCACCGCGTTTGCTGACCATTACACCACGAAGGCATGCTAAGAAGGCGAGAGAAATACCTTACAAAGCACTGCAACTTTAACTTGAGTTTAAACTTATATATATCTATCGACGTCCATCACAAAATAAGCGGTTTAAAAGTTAGATTATCTGCTTTCTTTTATTTGCCAATAAAAGAAAAGCATTAAATATAATTCAAAGCTCGTTTATTTTCTGAAATACTTTAATATTAAAATTTTGTAGTTATTAAAATTGAAAACTACGTTCAACGAATGACTTCATATTTATTATTTTCTGTAACGTAAATATAAATATCTTTTTTATTTACGTGAGATGTGGTTATAATAAATTATGTTGCAAATTTATTTGATCTAAAGTCTACATTTTGCATATGTTTCGTATTTACCTTCCCTGTAACAAACGCTGTTATATTATTTTCTTTTCATAAGAATTTTAGGTCTTTTCTTGGTATAAATTCACATATCTGCTTATAAATGCTAAAGGCATATTCTGATGAACCTGTTTTTCTTTTTATTCATTAACTACGTTTTAACGACGACAAATTTCCTCTTATTAGAATTTTACATATAAACGGGTTATAATAATTCGGAAAACGTTTCATGAAGCAATGTTTTATTTAAAGGTATTCCTTAAACATCAAGAGTAAGTGAATTAGTAGTTAGAACATTTTCGCACCATTAGATTTTTCATGCTTTGGAATACGTTTAACGTGCATTTTGCTAACTTATTCATAATTGAAAGAGGCTTTGAGAAAAACCCAAGTACAAATTTGTATCAAGGACTTGAAAGCAAAATTATTAAAGTATTAAATCCGTAAAAGGACTTTATTTCTTCCCTTATGATAACAAAATACTACTTTACTGAATGCATTTCAGAACGATTGTTTTGTGAGGTAAAAAAATAATTAATTAAAGCCGTGCCTCAAAATGATTAAAGAAAATTGTGGTTTTCTCTTAGGCTTCCTTCCAAGTACTCAGTATTTGTTCTCTGTCTGTCTCTCTGTATTTTAAATGCTATATAAAACGTAACTTGAAATTCACAGAGCATACAGTTGCAGACTGATTGCATAAAAATTTATGACTATCCGAAATTAACTAAGTATAGGTTTTTACAAAAATCTTTAAGATATTGAACAAATATTATATGGTATTAAGCACTATTTTATTTCGAAAAAAATAATATTGAATTGAAATAAAATTTAAATAAATATAAATAAAAATTGAAGTAAGAACTGATAAATTATGAAGTTTTGTTTCAAAAGCTCAAGAAAAATATTTTTTTCAATGCATATTTCCTGCAGCTGGAACTATATTTTACTACACGAGAAGATGCGTATTAAGTGACTGTGTGGTGGCGTAGAATTTTAAGAGACAGAATAAAAATGTAGCAATGATAATTATTAGGAAGGCGTACATGACTTCACTTCTCATTACTACACATTTTAAAAGCATCTCCCATAATAATCCTGACAATGAATTTAATACCTCATTTTTTTCCTTTAACAGTCTGAAACCTCTTAGTGGCATTATCTTTTATGTTTTACTACTCTATTTCCATGAATAATCTCAAAATAAAGACACTTGCAGCGAGATCACTTCAAGATATCGAAAATAGTTAGTGTTTTATATTGATTTTAATTTGTCAATGGTTTAACTCGCAAAATAAGTTTTAGGAGCCTAAATATAAATAATAGGAAAGCTTTTAGTCCTGTTAAATTACGATATCTATTTCTTTACATCTCACATTTTTTTTTTTTTTTTCAAATTCCAAATTTTAATTTAGATTAAAGTCTGTCCCTCAAAAGGACTTTCAGCTAAACGTTTTTATACTTACGAGATATTCATTGCAAGTAATGAATAATAATATTTTAAGTTTATTTAAAATCCGTACTGAGCTTTTAAGCAGTACAAGAAATACATCAATATACATTATTATATTTAACTATTCGTATTCCCCAATTATCATTATTGATCGGTGAAGGATATGACATTAACTTTGTAAAATATAAAAATCTTTGAGATACATGTACCATAATATGAGCACCGAGGTGTAGTAAGAAATATTCCATATTTAGTTAGAGAGTAGAAGAATAAGAAGCTCGTGCATTTTGCAAATGCTTCATGCAGTATTCCCAGTAAAATAAAGTCTTAGGGCCATAATATTTCTTTTTAGCACCTCTTTCGCACTGGAAGCCTCATAAAATTATCTCTTTCAATACATTCATGTAAACAACTCTTACTTTGCGGAAAACGATTTCTCACAACAAGAACTAAATATTCTTTCACATCTCAGGTAAACAGCACATCATTATGACACATAACATTTTTATTCCATTGGGTCCATCGCAGCTTTGCGGTAAAAGCAGATTGTATATTCTTCAAATGTAATATAGAAACGATCAGCAGTGTAAGAAGATTCTGCTGCCACATCGAAATTTCGACCCCTCTCCACTCGAACAAAGCAGACTGCTTCATTGCTCACACTGGTATCTCCTGGGATTGCTGCTGGGGGGCAGAAATTTGCTTCGGCATGCCGGAATGAGGCAGCAGAGGTTGAGCCTCAGGTAGAGCATTATCCGAAGCTGGAGACGGCACCATTACAGGTTTGGGAGGTACCTTTGGGGGCAACATGCGCACCCCCTGCTGGGAGGGATTGTGGATCGAATGGTGGTGATGAGTATAGTCCGGAGGAAGACCTGGAGGACAGATTGCCATCGGTGACGCTGCAGCGGTCGGAGTTGGCTTAGTCTGAGACGGTGGTATCACGATTGCTTCGCGTTCACCAGCTCGACGAACCTAAAAACATATTTTCATAGCTAAAAGTATACATGTATTTTAATTACTAAACTAAAATCCTACTCTAAAATCTACTATTTATTGCGATATCTACTCTAAGACCTACTGCTTAAAAATAAAAAAGTATATACTAAGGAGCAAAAGCTATTTTTGCCTCTTGCACTGAAATTTACCGCAGCAGTTCTCGTTATGTGTTTATAAGAAATTTTATTTTTTGCGCCCAAACATACCTGCTTGAAATATTCAAAAGCTCGAGCTTGATAATTTGAGGAAATAAAACATGCAGTTTAAATGGCAGTAATAGTTTAAGCGGTATTAAAAATTATTTTTATCTTGTAGCATAATTTGTCTACATCAAGAGAGGTTCAGGCGGTTTCCTCATTTCGAAGTATTCATCCTGTTCGCTAAGGCTAACTTAGCTATATATTTATCTCTGCCAAATGTATCATACATTTCTGAAAGTCAGAATTATTGTTTCCAATATTTAGTATACTTTAATGAAATGTCACTTGGATTCTAGAGGCCTAAATAAGATTTAGCGTAATTTTCTAGAACACGCCTGCAATAAGTGCATTTTCTATTTTAAAAGCATATCTTATGTTTATTATATAGCCAATTTATTTGAGATAATAAACACAGTTCTACATTTACTGTCAAAAACTGTGTTATTTGAAAACCCAAATTTAAATCACTCAAAAACTATACTTAAATAAATATCGCTTAGCATGTCGTGTTTATAATCATCCTTTTTAACTGTAAATATACACTTTTATTTTCGTAACTTGATTGAGTATGTATAAGGATAAAAGAACAAGATACATATTTTCACAGGCAAAAAGTGAGAAAATGGATGACTGATGAATAGTATCAGAAGATACACATTTCAAATACATAAAATTCACGAACAGCATACCACATCACATTACGAAATTAAAAGAACGCCACAAAATGCAGTTCTAAATGCTTGAACATCTACGGATGCATCTTGGGCATTCACGGAAATATTACATCTACTAAGGAATGTCATATGCATACAATGGCATAGCATGATAGGAAGGGTGTGCTATTTACATTCACAAAAGGTGAGGAAAGGAATTCTAATCATGCGAAGATGCGGAATGAGTTTCATTGGGGTTTATTTGACAACAGGGAAACTAATATACACCAATAACAGAAAGTAAATATCTTACTTCAAAATCCCAGATATTGTATTTATCCCTATCAATATTAACATCTTTATCACTGCCGCCGTGTGTTTGGTGAAAGGACTCTTCATCGCCTTGTTCCTCCCCATCTGTTCCATAAACGTGGCCATCCTGCAAATTAAAAATTGTTACTCTGGATTTTTCTGCTCCTGTAAGGCTATCATCCCGTTCCCTAAACACACGGCGACAGGATTTTGACTTGAATGCAATCTGAAATAGATGATGTTTATTAAACTGACTTTTTTCACTACTTGTTCTAACAAAGTAGTCAATGAAGATTTAATTCAGTTAATTTTTCATTCGTTTATAAACATGTTTCTGTTCTTTTCAACAGTTTTACTTAGAAGACATTGAAGAATGCATTTAAACAAACAGTCCGCATTATATTTAATTCCTATAAATAGCTTGCATCTTGATTTTTTTTAATGTTTCATGAATTTATTTTTCTTTTCGAAGGCTTGTTTTGAGGAAATGACTTTAACAGTCTGATTTAAAAAATATCTGCGTCTAGAATTAGTTAAAATAGTAGCCAAAAATAAAAATATTCCACAAAAGTAAAATTAAGGAATGCACGAAATCTGCTTAAAAATTCTTTGTTAATATGTAGAAAAGAAATCTATGAAAATATTTTTGGTATTTATAAGAGAAGGTCTCCGCATGAGTTAGGAAATTTACTACAGAGTTTTAAAAAAGCAAAATTTAGTACAGAGAATGAGAAGTTTCGAATAAAAGGCGATATATTTTCTCTTAAAATGCCTTTTTTAGAAAGACCTCAAGAATTCATCGGTTGTCGGATAAGTATTATGTTAAAATATTTTCTTACCTTAGCATTTAAATATGAAATTTTGATCATTATTTTTTCCCCTTTATTTTAAAACACCTAAATATAAAATTCATACTCGAGACGTCGCTTTCTACAATGCTCGCACTTGCCTTTTCTTTCCTTCTTACATCTTCAAAACTTCAGGATAGTCTCATTAAGACCTATACAATATTTAAGGAATTGTTTTCTTCTTTGATGGTTTTGATAAAGGATTCACTTTATTTTACATAATGTACTTGAAAATTACTCACTTCCTGAATAAATTTTAAACTGTTTTTTATTAAGTCTAAAATTAATTTTTAGTAAATTTGATTTATCTCTAAGAAATAAGTTACGAAATTGTTTTTTGAATAAGTTTTTGTCATATTTAAGTCAATTTTAGGTTCTACAAAATATCTTTCAGGTTGGATTATCTATTTCGGTTTTCAATAAATACAATTTAAATAAGAAATAGCGATATTTAAATTATTTCTTGTTAAATAAAAATATTCTGTGAGAATTTCACATAAAATAAAATTATACATATATATTACGTGCATATAAGTTAAACGAAACTCACATCTCCGTTCTACAAGATTAGAGTCCGACGTTCAGTTTATGAGATACTGTTTGCAAAATTAAAAGATTCACATAGAGCATTTCAGTTATGTTACGCTTCACATCATTGCCTTCACCGTTGTACATAGACTACGGAAGTTTAATGTGAATGACAAAAAATAAAGCATAAATCTAGAATATATGAAGGATGTAACAGAATTATGCTCCTTTGATGTATGTCTGTTCAATTTTTCAGATGTTATCTTATGTCTCCAAAAATTGCTCCGGATGTTATACAATGCGTTTATCCCTCATTTGTATATATGAGATTCATAGTTACTTAATCAAAGGGAATAATTTTTTTCTCATTAATGACTAAAGTTACATTTTAATTACGCATTAAAGCTATAACCAAATAAATTAACCGAATAAATAAAGCTAAAAACCAGTTACGGTTTTCAGCCTAGGTAAAAATTAATTAGGTAATGAAATTAAACTACACAGTTAAAAAATTAAGTTCACCATTATTAAGAATTATGAAATTAAATTATTTTAATACAAAAGTAAGTTGCGTAGCTGAATTCTAATATATATATGTATATATACATATTGCTATTTTAACTTTGTAATTCATTCTGGACTTCATACACATACATCTCAAGTATACGTATACATATACATACAGGAAGTTCTGAAATTCCTATATACATAATTTTCTCATTTGGTAATAATATATATATATATATATATTGTTATTAATTTAACAGAGTGTCCTACAGTCTGTTAAATTGATAACAATGGCAATATAAATTTTTCATAAACACGGGCGATGAATTAAAAGGATTTGCTTGCACAAAATACGTAGAAAAAATGCATTAATAGAGTAATAAAATACTGTAATAAAATATTTCTAGAGTATTGTTTAACAACATTGTTTGTTAGTTTTCCAAATACCTTTTTTTACTAAAAAAACAATTTCAAAATCCGTAGTATTCATTATTTTATGACATTTTATTAATAACATATTCTAGCTGAACTCGAAGTTCATTTAATATCTATATCACAGATTTCATAAAAGATCTGGTAGATCATACACTCATTAAAATAGTTATGTGAAATCATATATTGCTATATAGTATTAACATAATATTTAAATGCATGTTCAGTTGAACACAATAAGAATTTATTTCAATCCCTTAGTGCTTGAGACATTTAGATTAAATTTGCCCTGACAGATACGATCTTATTTTTATGTGTTATAATATTAATTTTATGAATCTACAACCAAAACTTTAAAGGTATCTTTTGAAACAGTATAATAGATCAAATTTTTGTGCCTGTATTTCAATGTAATTCACCCCATATTTCTTGACAAAAGTACTTTTATAGTGCTCAAAGTTAACTTCCAAGACTTCCCCAAATCCCAAGCCTCCTGTTGTTGCATAACAACATTTGAGCCTACATAAGAAATTGGAGAAACTTGAGCTTTGTGTAAATTGTATTACACATAACTCTTTAACACAATAATTCATAAGCAAAAGGTATCTGAGTTTTTGCGGCTAATATTGCAACATGTATGGCTTTGCAAGGAATTCTGAATACCGTAGAAATGATGGTATAAATCTAAAACGCTTACACAGTAATGTAAATGCATGCGCATATTTTGTGAAGGTACACATAATAATCACCTTCCTGATAACGTGTTAGTGTTTTTTTTAATGCAAATGACAACCTGCATCTGCCAATTCATATGCTAGTGGCTTCCAGGAGGAACTGAAAACACGTGGGCTGTAAAATTCAGGAACTCCATTCTAGATATTAGATCAAAATCATTAATCTACTGGTTTGTTCAACAATGCCCAAGCAAATTTTATAAAATTCAAGTATCTTGGAAGGTAGTAATAAGCCTAACTCAGATCTATTTCTTTTGAAAAATAAGTAATAGTTACATAGGAAGATGCACTGTCTTACTGGAGTAACACCTTTCTTGAAATATGAAAATCGCAAAAGGATTCAGTAATCAGCTGCTATATCTTGGGAACAGTTAATGTTTGCGTATCTCTTCAGAGAAAATTAAGAACTTGATGTATCGTATGAGAAGGCTCTGAGCACTATCATAGCGGCAACTTCGCAGCATGACCCAAATTGATAAGATCAAGGACATCCTTTGAGGTGTGAATAAACGCGATGAGTTGCTGTGCCACTTTGAAGGTTATAAATCCTCATTACCTTAAAAATGAACTTTAATTATCTTTTTATTAGAAAGAATTTTAAATCTGAACATGCGCATTCCAATTACTTTCAAGAAGATGATGAATGCGTTTGATAGACTCTGACCCACAAAACGTAAAACTAGGTTACGTAAATTGCCTCATCTTCGCAAACCTTAATACATGGGGATGAAAGTGAAGTGATGCATTCTACAAATAAGAATCTGAATGTGAATTAATATCTTTTCGGCTTTTTATGTCCCATACACCAAAATGCCAGTTCTATCAATTCGTGACTTTGTAACGTATGGTGATTTTATATAATATATAAAGAAATTCCCATATATGTTCTAAAATAGTTTTTTTTTTTGTTTCGCCATATACCGAAATATGCTGCTATGTATCAGTTGACATACGTTAAATTTAGTAGATAGAAATATATCAAAATTTCATGTATGAAAATATCAGTGTTATATTTTTAATACGGTCGTTCAGACTTCCTAGGGAAACGATGTTACAAAAAAAAAAAAAAAAAAAAAAAAAAAAAAAACATCACACTAAATGCTTCTTCGGTTTTCAACTTTTTTTAATTTCTTATTTTAAGTGATATGGCCTTTTTATATACTTCTAAAAACCAAACTAAACCAGATTTGAGGAAAAATATCACTCTCTGCCGTAAGTTTCTTCAGAAAATTAAATCTTTGTCTAAGATTGTTAGTTTTCTCAATATATTTATATATACATTACTTTTTTACAGGAAAATATTTCTTTGAGAGACCGCATTTCATTCTTTCTCATTACGTTTCAACAAATATTTATATTTGATTAACTTGAACACATATCTTTGTCTGAAATAGCTTTGTACAAGAAATATTCAATTATTTTACATGGTCCGGAACAAGCAGAAGTGATTTTAATAATTTTATTTTAAATACTGGAATTAAAGAAAAGTAACGTTAATTTCTGAAGTATCTGAATCGATTATAAAAATTCTTGCATTAATTCTATACATCTAACTAAAAGTTACATTAATCATCAAAAGGAGAATACTGCAAGTTACTTGGAAAAAGGCCTGCTTTCATTATGAATTTTGTAAAGAAAACTCGTTCATGTTTGCGTTAAACACAGAAAACTATGGCACACTAAAATAGGACCTTGCCGTTTTTATCCAAAATGAAACTGCAAGCGGACAGTGACTTTATCCTCTCAGGCAGGGGTGTACAAGAACAGGTGAAATCAGAATTTTCTTCTAGTGAACTTTGCTGTCTTCTTTATTTGTATATAAAGGATGAGCAAAAAACGCACAGCAGACTATTTTCAAACGCGAACAGAAACAGTGTATGTGTATGGTATTGTTATAGTGATGATCAATAAAGCCAAATGTTCATCTGAAATGAAACATTGGTCCATACAATTCCGGCTATCAGAATTATTAATTTCAGAAAACAGAATTTTGAGCATTGACTGTAATTTTAATCTTCTATACGCAATGCCGAGGTGAAAATATGCTATGGAATTTGATATCATATCGTTGAAATCGATAAGATGACATCATATTTTTGACAATTTGTTATCATATCTTTAAACTTGACAATATGACATCATATCTTTGAAAGAAAATTAGTCGAAGCAGTTATCTT